CCCATGGTTGTAAGGGGTGGAAAACGCAACCCCTAAAATTTATTTCCAATGTAACTTTTTGTCTTATTATTTGTTTACCATTTAAAAATTTATTTCCGATAGCCTGTTTCATTCTAAACAAAAAATGTCTCTTGGGTTTTTTGCCCAAAATAAACCCAGCAAAAAGATATTTTACGAACAACTACAGAGACACATCGTCATAAATGCGAACTGGATTTATTGTTATTTTGTACCTGCATTAAACGATTGAAGAATAATAAACAAAACTAATTTATTAATGAACAAAAAACACACATGTAGAAATCATAGCAAATGTTCAATATGTCTATCTTCAGACATTACGCATGCGTCTAGACATCGGCGCATTGAGCCACGTATTCGCTCAAATATTCCTGGAGTCTCTCTGATTACCCTGCATGCATTGATGATGCGGTTTCTTGAGTCCTCTACATCGCGAACAGGAGTAGGGAACCCTGTAAATGGCCCCAAATAGAGAAATTGAGAGGATTGAGATCCGGGGATCTAGCGGGCCATTTATGTGGTTTTCCTCGACCTATCCACTGATTTGCATATGTTTCAGTTATATGCTGACGTGCTACTTGACTAAAATGGGCGGAAGCTTCATCATGCATAAAAAACATATCCCTTCTGACGCCCAAAAGAACTTCATCACCATTTAATCGAGGGGGTAGAAAATGAGGCCCAATTGAATCATCCCCCTTAACTCCGAGCCACACGTTGAGAGAAACTGTTCTTGATGGTGGGTTTCAACAATAGCGTGAGGGTTTTCATCAGACCATATGTGGTAATTATGGAAATTAATAATCTTGTCCCGAGAAACACTACATTCGTCTGTGAATTCTATCGTCTTCAGAAAGTCACAATTTCTTCTAATCATTTCCAGCATCCAATTGCAAAATTCAAGACGGTTCGTAAAGTCTCATGGTGACAGTGCCATGGTACTCGTTGCAGATGGTAAGGGTATAAGATTTGTTCCTTGAAAATTCGAAATACCGTCATATGATCAACATTTAGCTGGAAAGCAATCTTTCTGGTACTGGTAGTAGGTTGTTCTTCAATCAAATTAAGTACTGCTTCCTCAAGCTGTGGTGTTCGTACTTCTCGATGGCGATCACAATCCTGCGCTCTTTTGTCGAATGACCACAGAACTGGCCCGCTCGATCCCCGGATCTCAATCCTTTCAATTTCTCTATTTGGGGGCATTTGGTTTATCGTACTCCTGTTCGCGATGTAGAGGACCTGAGAAAACGCATCATCGATGCGTGCAGGGTAATCAGAGAGACTCCAGGAATATTTGAGCGAATACGTGGCTCAATACGCCGACGTCTAGACGCATGCGTAATGTCTGAAGGTAGACATAATGAACATTTACTATGATTTCTACATGTTGTGTGTTTTGTTATTATTGAATTATTTCTGTTTATTACCCTTTAATCGTTTAATGCAGGTACTAACTACAAAATAACAATAAATGGCATTTATGACGATGTATCTCTGTAGCTGTTCGTAAAATAATTTTTTGCTACGAACTGGTTCATTTTGGGCAAAAAACCCAAGAGACATTTTTTGTTTAGAATGAAACAGTCTATCGGAGATACATTTTTAAATGGTAAACAATTGATAAGACAAAAAGTTACATTGGAAATAAATTGTAAGAGTTGCGTTTTCCACCCCTTACAACCATGGGGTGAACCAAATAAATCACTGGCTAAGTGTCTTTTTGGTAGTACAAAACGTGAGGTTAATTTCAATATTGTTACTTTTTCAGTGCTTGTGAAAAAAATTGTTTTGTACCTCCTTCAAGGGGCTGTATCTTAACAAGGGATGCTCCAATGAAGTTTCTTTATATGAATGATCCTATCTTTTTTTAGATGAGAAATCACCTCTTCAAATGTTTTACACTTATTCAGTTACATCCTGTATAAGCGGTAAATTGAGTCTAAATTATGTCTAGACTTAAAAAAAGACATATGTCAGCCTTCTGTGTTTCATTTTCATGCTACCGATTTAGAGAAAGGGAATTTGTCTCTTTTTTTACACAATAAGGTGATCTAGTTTTCTACAACAATGTACCCGGCGTCATGGAAATGTTCAATATAACGTATGAACTAGAGAAATGGTGACTTTTCATCGATTTATCAAAAAGAAGTTTGATCATTCCCATATTGATTTCAATTTAAGAGCCACCGGTAGACAGCTGTTTCAACCTATTGGGCATCGTCAGTACCGGGCAGGCGGTCCTCGACCGTGACGAAGTTGGGAGTTAGTCCTTGTAATCTCAAGATCTTCCAATGATGACACGAAATCGCAGTTGGCCCCTGATGATGAATCCGCTTGCTTTGTTTGACTCATTTCTTGCAACCAAGTGTTGTCTATCTTTCACACTTGGCTTAGATTTAGTAGTTCAAATCCACAAATTTTCAAATCCACAATGGAATAAATGAGTATATCGATACCAGTTTTGAAAGAACGACTGAGGAATCTCAATTGACTTAAAGTTCCATCTAAACTGTTTTGAAAGACATGTCTGTCAATTTTTTCCTGAACCTGACTGCGTACAATGCATTATATCTGTGTTCACCGCCAGTTATGTTTACATCCTGATATCATTTTGATTTTACAGATCCATCAAAGGTCTACAACACTGGCTGTTTTATTTGACGTATGCCACTCAAACACGATATGCATCAGCTTTCCTAAACCGCAAGGTGTTCACAAACCCTCTTCTGAATCAAGCTCTTCCATATGACGAACAGCACAACTGCACAAGTATGAACCTGATAGAAACATCCCTACTGAGCGGAGCTAACGATCCTTACTGTAGGTATGCAAGTGGACAGGCTTTCTTAACGGAAAGATATAGCAGGGATCCCACTGATGTCATTTTCAGCGGAATATTGGAGGAGGATTTCAATATCGGAGTCACTTTTGCTTTTGCATTGGGAATGATCGTATTCAATTTGTTCATGTACCTCATTCCTTTGCCTGCATTCGTGAAGGCAAAGTTCAGAGAATGAAAGAATGGATTGGTCGTGATGTGTATGTGGTTGAGCAATGAATGAGGTGCATTATTTTTGGAAGGAATGTAATCTCCTCGTTCTGGTGTTCTAGAAAACTGCAGTATCATAGATTCATCACTTTTTTTCAATATTTTCACAACCATTCCTTCAATAATCTCGCCCTAGAGGTCTTTTGTTGAATGTTTGTCATATTTTTCTAGATTAAATTACGTCTATGAATAACTCATCTGACTGAACACATCTACGAAAACACATCACGTCTCTGTATCTGTAGAGTAGGGAGAGTGAGTTCAATTATCCTTCCAATGGTACCCTGACCCATTATGTACCCACAGCACTTAGGCCACATGTGACCCATTGTACATCCTCCCAAGGAGTTGTCCTCCTAGGTCATTGCCCATCCTGTCCTTTCCAGGAAGGTGGACAGGTCACTAGGATACATATCCTTCATATCGCCAGGTGTAGGCCAAGACTCGCCAAACCCACACTCTCTAATTGACGATAACTCCGGACACTCGCATAGGACATGCCTGAGAGTTTCATCTTCCTGTTCAAACATCCTGCATAGAGGTGTGACCACTAGCCCCATATTATGGAGGTGTTTCTTCAGTTGACAGTGACCAGTCAGAAATCCTACTGTTGTGCGTTGATTTCATCTGGTCATCGCTAGATATTTCTTCGGACCCAGCTAGTGGATCCTAAAATTCTTAGTCCAGCCGCTTCTTTTGCTAAAGAGCCGGCAATGCGATTACCTCTACTCATGTCGTGCCCTTCAATCCACCTCAGGATAATATTATTATTTACCAAGGCTATGGCGAAATCTTGGTGGCACTCTAGTACTAGCCCTGCGGTAACACGTTGTCTCTCCAAAGCTAATAGGACTTGTCTGCTATCAGTGCAGATTGTTATGTTTTGCCAGAAGTTTATTTCCTGATTATTTCTTTTGTGGCGATTGAGATACCAGCCAGTTCTATTCGAACCACGCTGGTATTTTTTCCCATTCCCCACTTAATCCTTAGGCTTTGTGAGCTGTAGAACACTTCACATCCTGAGCCTTCTTTAGTTTTTGAGCCCTCTGTATATATGCGTATTGCATTTGTAGCATCTGACTCTGTGTTCTTATTTATTTGTATTTTCATAGTTTATTAAAATACAAACCTGGGTTCAACTGTATCACTGGTTGCCTGCAGCAGAGGTGGCGCAGTGAGCGCTTCTCGCCATAGTCTTAGCTTTAATTGACCCATTCCTACTTCGAGGTTTACACGGAAGATTCAGGATCGGCTTCAAAAATATTGATCCTCTCATTTCATTTTTATTTCACGTGGCAAGACTTCCCTCATTTATGGAAGACATATATGTATCAGCTTCAGTTTGTGTAGAAAATAAATTTCGACGCCAAAAGATACGCGATCATGTTTGATGTTCATTCACCACATGTTTGTTAACTCATGTTTGGTCAGATCTCTTGTATAAAAACTCTTGTTTTTTCTCTTGAAGACGTTGGAAGCGGATGAATTTGAATGTGGATTCATTTGGTACTAATGGTTGCCACAAACTATAACCGGGTACCTATTCAAATATTTTTCTGATGTGGTATCACTCATTCTCAAACAGGGATTTCATTTGTTAGTGTCAGTAACAATGTAGGAAGACAAGGTCCTAATTTCACCGTTGAGTTCAGCGATTGATCCCTTGGTTTTTTAAATCGGTCCATTCGAAACGTTAGCTTGTTTCTAATGGTTCAATTAATCCATCAGAAAATTTCTGTTTCATTTAGTAGATCGTCAAAACAAACAGTTCATAAGGAATATATAAATTATATAATGATGACACTTCCAAAATACATATCAAGAAGGATATTTCGAAATTTCAATTATATTCATATTGAGATAATCTCAATTCTCTTGTCGGCTTACTGTGGTATTTGAAAAAGATATCAAAAGTAAATTTCGTGTACTGTGAATTTGGGAAATTTATGACACACTTAAGACAATATTCCACAGTGGGTGTTCAATTCCATCTCAATATTGACTTTGATCAGATAGGAAAGTCAGCGTTTCAGAAAGTTGGAAAGTTGCAAATTAGAAATTTGCACATATTGAAACTTGCTGAAACGATATTGGAACAACGCATTCTTCAACCTCTAGATTTATCCAATTTGGTACAATCGTGGGCTGGAGAGGTGAAATTTAGAATCAGTTTTTAAACTTGTATTGGTATGTTTAGTATTTCTCATTCATTTCATGTTTTCTCCTGTTCTAACAAACAGTAAAGGCTCTAAGAGCTAAGAAAATAATAATTGTTGTAATATTATTTCCATTTCATAGTTGAAAACTGGTATGTGGAAATTCACTGTCAAGGTGGATACCAACCAGTTATATTTTTAATGTTTTACTAAAACTATTCAACTTTAGTTATTTATTTATTTTTTTTGAAATGTATATATGTTCAAGTGAGATTTGTCGTACTACATTAGATATAAGAATAAATGTATGTTAATACCTCGAGTTTTTTTCTCAATTCGTGACAGGGTATGCCTACGTACTTTCAAGTTTAAAAGAAATATATTTTGAGAAACGCCTTCTCTTAATCTATATGAACCTGATAATAGGGACACCATACAACAGATGCATATTCCAGCCTAGATCCAATAAAAGTGAAATAAAGTGATTTGAATGTTGAAGCTCCATGGAAGCCTTCAGTATTTGTAACTAACATGCGATGAGCAGCTGTCAGAAAGTGTCAATTTGTTTATTGAACAAACAAAGTTTATTGAATCAATAGAATACCTATATCAGTTAGTGTGTCAGGACTCTCCAGAAGTTGATTGTTTATGACGTAGTTTCGTAATGTCAGATTCGTTTCCAGTGAGTAGGCCATTACATTACATTTGGATATGTTGAGATTATTTTTCTGACAACATGTAGCAACACGATTCAACTTCAAACAAGACTTTCGCAATCATCACAAACACGTTACATTGTATAGAGTCTCAAGTCATCTGCGTATAAAAGGGAATTGCCATCAATCTTAGCTCGGATATCATTGATAAACATAATGAAAATTAGGAGTCCCAAGTTTGGCCCTTGTGGTACACCAGATGTGGCTAGATATTCGACAAACTTGGGGCCATTGAGTTGGACCTACTGCTTTCGGTTGTAAAAATACGATTTGAAGAGAGTAATTGAGTCATTGGATAACCCAAAGTCGAAAGCTTGTTGAGCAAAATATTATGGTCAAGTCTGTCGAACGCTTATGTCATTGTAATGCACTGTTTGGAACCTTTGGTGTAGTAATGAATATTACTGAAGTTTTATCAAACCACCAAATCGTTATTTTCAACACCTCGACACGTGTTTCAATCACCAAGTAATAATCTCCAAGAGAAAGATTGAACTGTTTATACTTTCTTTTGGAAATGATCACTTTGTGATTGAAACACGTGTCGAGGTTTTGAGAATAACGGTTTGGTGATGGGATAAAACTCCAGTAATGTGGATAACATCAGTTTGAGACTGACAATCAACACGCTCCGCAACACATTGAGTAATTGTTACAAGATTGGTTATGTTGGAATTTATTTTCACATTTTGCAAATGCAAATTGTTTTGTGACTTCGATTCAGCTTCATGAAAATGTTAATTGCCACCAGGAATAACTTCAAGTGCTTCAACGAAATTTATACCTAACTTCTAATATTACCTGCACCGTGAGATGAAATAGAAATGAGTTTATCGCCTAAGAACTTCAAGTAGCTGAAACTCCTAGCATATATTCATCTAAGACTTTGGAATGGAAATTACCTACTTCCGCAAGTTGTTTTCAACTTTATCATGCATGAAAGTTCAGGAACATCAAGACAAATATCTTGTAGATAGGAAAATTAGCACAAATATATTCTTTTTCTTTTAAAGTGAAGATGAGACACTATTCCGTACAATGTTCTACTTTTCTCTTGTCTCTCAACTTTACCCAGGGATAAAATGAGGGAATTAGTTTCTCTCAAGGATTTTACCGCTCTGAATTATATTACTCTGAGTCTAGAGATATAAATCGTACAAGTCAAATGCCAAGCACAAATTGCGGTAGATTCTGAAACTACACAATTTTAAAATTGAATAGTTTGTATTGTAGATCGAAGAAAATAATTTTCCCTGACATCAAACTTTTCTCACAAGAGAGGGATCAGTTGAAACCGGTAACGCGAACAGTAATTGATAATTATTTCAGTGACTTTAAAAAAATGGAAAACAAAATTATGGAATGAATTCATTTTTGAACAAATAGGCGACTTCAGATGGAAATTTTTAAAAAGGTCAATATTTGATTTCAAATTACGTTTTTCTTATATATACCTGACAGTTGGGCTGAAAGTTCGTAGGCTGGCATAGAAACCTTTTTTTCGTGAAATTTGATTGAATTATGCAATATGGTGGCCAACGAGAGCGATAAATGATGATATGATTTGTCTTTAGCTTCAAAATAGTTTTGTTTCGAGATTACCATTTCATCGGCACTAAATTTCTTTCCGGCGAGCATTCTCTTGGGGTCTTAGAGCAGAAAAAAGTCGCTGGGGGCAGATCTGGAGAGAACGGTGGATGCAGAAACAATTTGAAGCACAACTCATGAAATTTTGCCGAAGTTTCATTTGATTTGTGCATTATCTCGATGAAACAGCACTCTCTTTTTCTTCAAATGTGCCTTTTTTTCGCTACTCCGTCCTTCAAATCAATCAATCAATCAAAAATTTATTGAATCAGTTTTCCTTCACAATCACATTAGACGAGAAAAAAAAATATAACATCATCATAAAATACTGGCTGATTCAACAGGTCAAACAAACATAAAAAAGATAAAAGAGTCAATATAAAACATACATAAAAAATAAAAAGAATAAGCTGCAATCCAAATAAAGTATCAAGGAGAAACTCATCCACAGAGTAGTATGCTTTTTGCAATAGGAAAATCTTGAGTCGCCTTTTAGAGACATTGATATTTGAGGATTCAATGTCCTCACTAAGCTTATTATATAGTTCAACCCCACAGCACATGGGGTGATTCTTTGATACTGTCAAGATACTATAAGGTTGATATAGTTGAGAGTTATTTCTGGGGAAATGTTCATGGATTTGCTTATTTCTAGGAATAATTGAAATTTTGTTCTTTATATACAGCGTGACTCATGGTCGATGCTAGGTTAGACGTTTCTGGAAAATGCAAAGCATGATTTTTCTGAAAATTTCACCTCTCACATTTTCTTACCTGTTCTATCGATCTAAACTATTTTCAGCATTGCGGCGTTGCCACTTCCATCAAAAAGTCCTAGCAACTTTATTT